GATCTAATTTTCCTCCTCCCTTTTAGTAACAGAACATCTTGAGTTAAGACTGCCCATGGCCACCTAGAGACAGCACTCCCAAGCCTCCCTTGCAATTAGACTTGGTGACTTTCTGAATAATAAGCCTGCTTGTCTTGGGGTCTTTCCATTTGCCGGCTGGTTTTGAAATGGAAATGGATACTCACCAATGCCCAACCAAATCTCTAAGAGCTCCTTGTCTTAGAAGAACTTCTTAAAATTCTAATTGTGATTAACTATAGGAGGGGGAGAGAAATACTGAAGCTGTCCAGTAAACTTTCTATAAATCAGAGTATTGTGTGAAGGGAAAATATCTACTCAGTGAAAGCATTCACTAACTGATTGGATTCTCACAATAATCTGTGAGGTAGAATAGATAGAATTATTTGAATTTGACCGTTGAGAAAATAAGGCCCAGAAAGGTTGAGTAACAGCTCTAAGTCAGTCAACTGGTAAGCAGGAGTGCAGGACTGGCTCTTATTTCAAATTCAAGCTACAGGATTTGAGTTGCCTTTCCACTAACTCTGCAGAAGGTTTTAACAATCAGATTGATTATTGGTGTGGCTGAGGCTTAATTATGCACTTTACAAACTGGATGGATTGGTTTCCAGTTGACATTTGGTGATTCAACTTTTTCCCCTCCACACCATACTGTCTTTTGTGCTGATGTAGAAAGTGTGACTGGACAGCACATGTTCTCTTCTTCTGTGGTTGACCTTATCTAGTACTTAAGCAGCCATAGAAGTAGCATCCTAATGGAGATCCATGGCGATGTGGTAAGGTGGAAAATGCAAGAAGGGTTAGAAATGATCGAGATGGCTGTACTTAGAAAAACCAGCAAGTCACTCTGAGTTTAAGTGAAATGAACCCTGTACTTTTATGACAAGGAAACAGAAAGATGTTTGTGCTTCTGGCTCTAGGCATTTGTGAATTCCAACAGTTAAGAAAAAATCAGTTAATTGAAGGCTGAGGACCTTTTCTGAGAACCCTGAAATGCCCTGGAGTGATCACAAGATTTCTCTGCTTGTTATAATGCAGAAAGATACTAATCTTGAAAAGCATTTTATCCCACTCCGGTCTTCCTATGACACCTTGACTAGCATGCCATTTTTATTTCTCCATCTCTGACTGGTTCTGGTTTTCCCAGGGGTACAAATCAGTCATGATGTGTACCTTAATCAGCCACTGACCCACTGCGTGCTTCTTTGGAAAAATAGACATTTTTCCTTGAAGGACTGAATGAGCAATAAAAACTTAGAACGAATACAACTCTGCATGTTTTTTTTTTAAAGTAAAACTTCATCCTTTTTAAGTTCAAATGTCCTATGATTTGAAATTCAGTTGATATGACTTCACATTCCATAAGAGTTTGCAATGACACATTTCATGCACAAAGGGAGGATTAAAAAGAAAAACTGCTTATGAACTGAATTTTTAATACCCTGAATTTTTGTGGCTTGTACTCAGAATTTAAAATTTTTCTTTTAATTTGCAACATGCATTAAAGCATTATTGTTCATGAATTGGGAGAAGCAGAGTGCTTATCAGTTTCTGAAAATAGGAATTTGAGTGTGATCTGGTAGATGGAACGTTAGGGCAATGGGTTTGGAGGAATGTTGGGTCCTCTCTATCGAAACAGTGACCCCAGAATATTTCTGATGTCCTTCTTGATTGTCGCTCCCTCACTACCAATGAACAACACCAGTTGTCGGGTGATGACTGTGTATCAGGCAGAGTGCTAAATATAATCTCATTTATTTCTTATAACCACCCTATGCATTTGGTATCATTACATTGTATAGATGAGGAAACTTAGTATAAAGAGAGATTAAACAACATGCCCACGGCTACACAGCAAATAGACATCAGAGACAGGCTTTGGGTAGCTTCCCATATTGTTGCCTGCATCGTTATACCACATGGATTGAAAACAACTTGGCCTCCAGGACTGGCAAAGCCTTATAGACAAAATACATGAAGGGCACTTGCTGGGTGTTCCGGGAGGAAAGACAAACACAGGCCCCAGCATCCTGAGGCTACAACTGATTGACATTATGTGGAAAGGACAGAAGGGCCCAGCCCATGAATCTTGGACTAACCCATTTTCAGAACGGCCTTTTGGCATCAGTCTCTCTTCTCACTGACAAAGCTTCCTCCTTCTGGTCTGTTTGCGGTATAGTTATAACACAGTGGGCATGTGGTTCAAGAGGCTGAACATGTAAAGGCCTCCATTCCAGCCCTTATTTCATTTGTTTGCCAGTTTGACCTTCCTTCATGCCCAGCCATTGGTAGCTTGCTGCATGCACAGGTCCATGCAAATAGCTGAAGAGATCCTCCTTTGATAAGGCTGCGCTCATGGCCCTTTAAATGATGCATGTTTCCATTTGTGCCAACAGCCAGGACTTGTAAAATGTCCTCCCTCCAATTAAACTTTTCAATTGTTTGGAAGGGAAAAATAGAGATATGGAAGCAAAATCGATCAGATTTAATGGAAGAAAGGAGGAGGCAATGGCGGTATAGAGTGGACACCCACTTAAGTAACCAAGAAGAGAAGGCGACACAATGGTAACACAAGATGGCCTATTTATGTTTTTTTTTTTTAACTAGATGGCATGATTTGATAGTGAAATAGGAAAACTCTGCAAACTGATAAAAGGAAGTGGCTTCTGACCCTTGTCTAGACTGTGGAATAAACAAGCACACCCGATTCTGATCAGTGTCAAACAATATTTACCAATTTCTCTGAAACTGTGAATGTAAATAAAGGGCTGTGAGTCATGAGAAACCGAGAGGAAATTAACTGTAATCTTTACTGTGCAGATTCTGATTCACCATTATTTTGGAAGGGAGCCTGGCTGTTTTCAGTGAATACATTTACCTTCTGTGGGAACCTCAGTTTTATTAAGCCACTTTAGCTAAGAAATTACTTGTGAGTCAGCTTAAGTTATATTTTACATGCAGTATTAAAAAAAACCAGCAAGGCACCTGAATGTTATTAAAGTAAAATTCAGGGGAGAAATAAATCACCAAAAATGTTGACATAAATGAGGTCTACCTTAAGAAAACATGATAGGCCATCATTTGATCTTATAAAATAGATAAACTAGGGGTTAGTTGTCTGCCTTGGCTGGAATTCAGCTCTGGCCCACCCTCCACCAATGGAAACAACCATAATAGCCATCGAAAGAGAACTGGTTAAATGAATTATGTATCTCCACATAACAGAATACGAGGCAGCTTTAAAAAGAGTGAAAAGAGATCTGATTATAAGTGGCCTGAAGAAATATGACATGGTATGGAGCAGTGTACATAGTAAGATTTCCTTCTCTCTGTTAAAGCATAGAATACACTGACAGTCTAAACAGCCCATTTCATAGTATTCTCTTGACACTGGTCATCATGGGGGTAGAAATGGGAAATACAAAAGCACTGCCTGCCCTTGTTGACATGTTTCTGTAGTGTTTGCTTTTATTGGTTTCTTTTACAATGAACATTTATAACTTCTGGTAAAAAATATATATATATATAACTGTAAATAAAAACAATTTTGAAAAATATTTGAAAAAAATTACATGGCCCTCATTTCTGACATTATTTATTAGAACTCTGGTCTTAGAAGAAAATTTTCAAGTATTCCTTACTTCAATTGATCTTGGTCACAGGGCTTACAGAGACAAAATTCTATTTGTATGATTACATACATGTTCTCTTACTGCCCCTCACACAGATGGATCTCGGCTGTTAAATGCTTTATTATTTTTATTGATAATTTTGGATAAGCTTCAAAGCCCAACTAGTCAGACCCAGGAGAGCTGGAGAGGCATTAGAAGGGGGCAGTAGTTTTCCCCACAACACCCTTTTGTGTTGTGTGTGTCAGTGTTACAACTATAAAATGGGGAGGAAAGGGGAGTTTTACTTATTCTCTTAACTCAAAGGAAGATTGTGAGCACTGAGTGAAGCCGCAAGGAAACTTAGATGAAGAGTGCGTGGTATGATTGATTACACAGGCCTAACTTAATGAGGAATATGGCTGCTTTTCTAAAACACATTAAAGCAAGAGACAGAGAGACGTGAGAGAAGTTACTTAATGCTGTGATGTCGGGCTGTGATAATGCAGGCAGCCTGGCCATGGTCTGTTATTATAGGCCATTGTTTCACAGCTGTGACTCCTACTGATGGCAGCAGAGCACAGGGAGGGTGGCAAAGCCTCCGAGGGCAGCATGAGTAAACCTTTATGTCATTATAATACTGAGTCGGCCAGGGCAACCAGATGGTTATCTACATGGACTCATTTAGTTCTTACATAGGCAAAAAGGTACAAGCTATTGTACGCTAGTGTTGGGGGTCAAAGGAAACAGCTTCATAATCAAATTTCAAATAGAAAATAATGTAACCTACTAGTTCTGGAAAATCCAAACCCGATAGAGTATGACCCTTTAATAAACAGCACATAACTTATTTTTCTTTACAAAAAGCGAACATATTTAGTGTGGAAAACTGTGAAACAAAGAAAGAATAGCAAGAGTAGTAAAAATAAAGATAACTCCTAACTGTATTACTGAGAGGTAATGGCATCAAAAATTTTGGTTTATGTTTTTACAATTTATTCATCTATTTATCTATCCAATGTAAATATGTATATGTATATATATAAAATTTATAAAACGAATGGCATTGTCCTGTTCATATTGACTTAAAATAAAATATGCACTTGTAAACTATGTTGTGATCACCGTTCTTATAGTTTAATCTTTGTGCATAAATTTATTTCCTTAGACTTATGATCAGACATGGAATTGCGTGTAAAATGGTACATAAATGAGTTCTAAAAAGTATTTTACACCGACCCTGAGTCTTCTCTGAACCCATGGCTTCCCTAACCAAAAGTTCATTGCCTAAGATTGTTCAGTGCCCCTGAAAGTGATATTCTCAGCTCTGGAAGAACTCAAGGTTCCCCTAGGTATCTGAAATGATTCACTTACTTTCCGAGGTTTCACCTTATCTTGTAAATCATACTGGCCAATTCCTTTATAGCTGATTCCAAGCCACCAGGGAAGTCCTTGTTTATCCTGGAAGATGGAAAAGCATGAGAACCAAGACCTAATTGTTAAGTCTTCTAGAGATGCAGTAATATTCACCAATTTCATCCTTTGACAAGTATCAACAGGTCAAAATAAAGCTGCCTTGGTAAACAAAACAGTACTTAAAAACTTAACTTCTTATTAAAATGACTTCTTAGTGATTCTTCAAATAAGATTTATAAGTCAAAACAGACCACTACTATTAATACCCTCAAAAAGGATGAAGCATGACTGTTTTGATTAAACAGCTGAAGAAATAAAATGTAAGTAGTTCAACTGAGAATTAATCTGGAGTACAAAGCCAGTTATCTATTTAAAAAAAAAAGAAAGAAAAAGAAAATGAGCTCTTTGTTCTCTTGATTAGTAACCAGCTACAAAGGTCAAGGAAGTTCCAAAGAACTGCAAAGATGTAAAAACTAGTTCCAAATCCTCATGTTTATAATATACTTAAAGAATATGGGAATACTGAAAAAGTCTTTCAGAGAACTATATGATTCAATGACAGGATATTTGAATAATGACTATGAGGTTCATAAGGGGAGAGGAGAAATTTTTTTTTCATAAATTTATCTTTTAGGTCTTATAAAGCAAAGGATGTATTGACATAGGGAAAGAAAAACTTAGGCTAAAACACATACTCATATGCAAACAGACTAAGAATCAGTAGAAATTAAAGTTGCATTAGTACATATTTTTAGTACAAGATGTCCTCATTATGCAGATATTTAGTATCCAATTCCCCACCATTTTGAATTGCAAACATTGTTGGAACTTGAAAAGTCACTCAAGATTGATCAATTATAAAGTTATTCTTCTTTTAAACAAAACTCACTTCTTAACACTGCTTTATCCTTTGTCATCTCACAATATTTCTTAGTCAATTTCTCCCTGCTTATAAACATCTGAAAATACTACACAAATACATAACATCCTGACTGAAAATTGGTATTGCAAATACTACAAAAATGTGAGGATTTTATTAAGCTGTTGAAATGACATTGGAGAGTGCATGGTTCTCATACAAAGGCACTGTCAAATGAATATCTGGTAGCATTAAAAAGGTAAATAATTGGAAAAGAAAAAAATAAGAAAGAATAGCTAAAGGAACAGGTGGGCCCAAAGAGAATGATTTGAATATCTTAGGGTAATAGAGGCTTTGGGAAAACATATGAACATAGCAAGTGTTTGGCAAAAAATGTGCTTTATAATTGGCTAAAAATGACAAAATATAATCAGGCTTTTATTCTTTATGAAAATCAATCCTATGCTCAATGCTCAAATTTCTAGAGACAATTTACACATGTATGCATTTTGGTTTATGTGGTTTTAGAAAGTTGGTGCTCTTCACTAACTCTTACAAAATAAGATGGGTATTATGAAAGCTTTGCCATTTAAAAGTATTTACCTTTACTGCATAATAATGGACTCCATAAGTTGGTAGAGCTTCTACTATTTTCATATACCTATGGAAAATGAATACATATTATAACCTCTTGTTATGATAGAGGGCCCTTCTGGGAAAAGTGATTTAAACAACACAATTTGTATCTATTTTCTTCATGATAACCACGTCTTTGACTAAAGTAGAAATAAAATAAACCATTCTAGGGAGAATTTTTTTTTAATTTATCAAAATGTTAGGAGGGTGCCAACAAGACTTCAATTTCAAAAAGCTATTGGAAATGTTATTTTCTGCATAGTAAGATTTCTATCGCTTAGAAACATATCGTATGTATTAGACACTCACATTGCAAGTATTTTTTAAACTAAGCACCTAATGATGCAAGCAATGAGAATCAACCTTTGGGTCATGCTCAGAATGAGTAAAAAATAAAGCGAATCCATGTGCTGATTGTGGTAAACTCTTAGAAATATATACTTAACTCTTCAGTCAAACCTCTTAGTGTGAATTTTATTGTATTAAAAGCTGACTTTTAAAAATATGCTCCTCCCACCCTAAATTAAACAATGGTGCCACCATTTGCTATTTTTAATTCAACAAGTATGTCTTGTGTGCCCCTAAGACCTTATGGAGTAGCATAAATTGTGTAAAACTGCCTCTCTGTCTACAAGGGATTGAGGTTCCCATTTAATACAAGTGGATTCATTAATGACATTTTGAAGATCAATTGTTCTGGGCTTAGTAGTCAATAACTTGATAATTTAAAAAAGTAAATGGCCTACATGTAAATGAGTATAAAAGGTTAGGTGAATGTGCCAAGGTCATGCGGCAATTACACTGCACAGCCAAGGTTCTAACAAATTGAGTCAAATGTTACAGTTTAGAGCCTTAACTATCAAGTTAGATAGTCTCTTATTTGGACTCACAACAATAATGATCAGGGAAAATAAAAGAAGTCTGCATTTAAGCAAGAACACTTCATAATATGCTTATTAGCCTAAACTAAAATCCTTCAGGGAAATTATTTTTTATTTAGTTCAGAAAACAGGCACAATGAGTTACAATTCAACTTCAGGACTACTGCTAACATCTAATTTCTGCTTTGAAGGTCACACAGGTGTGCTGTGATAAAAAGGAGGTTGGTGCAGGAGGTAGGGGTACAGGGCAAATCTATATCAGGACAATAGCAATCGCCAAGGCTTTATTTTAGTTCTCACATGCTCTGAGCTATGTTCAGCAGTTTGTTTTTTTTTAAAAAAACTTCTATGGCCATAAAAGTTCTTCTATAATTACTATAGCAATAATGCAACATTAGCTTTTATAATTATAGGATTATAAATTCAGTTTTTATAATTTTAAAAATTTAATGTAGCTTGGGAACTGTTCCTAATAAATGGATGGTACCTCAGTAAGTGTAAAATGCAGACCTTTATCACTATGGCCTTTCCTGGGTAGCACGAAGAAACAGATTATCCAACACCAACACTATGTGTTCCAACCAGAGTAGAGTCACAAACCAGGCCGCCAAACATGGCCTCCAGACAGGCTTTGTTTGGCTCATATAGTATTAAAATTTTCTTAAAATGACTTTGCAATGTTTAAAATGTGATTTAAAAATAGGAAATTCCAGCTTTTCTTGGAAAATGTCAGAAGATCTGGCAACATTGCCCCTGAATTCTGAAGCTGAGTAGCCTTGCCCTTACCCAGGCCAAAAGATCTCCAGTTTTACCACAGTTCCCCATCCCCTCTTGCCCCACCCTTGGCCTACATTTGTTATTTTTGCTACCTGCCTACCACTGATGGCATCTGAATTGACGACACCAATATATGGAATGACCCAAGACATTTTATAATTCATAGTAAGATATTTCTAATCAGATGAGGACTATATACATACAAAGTATGCAACAGAAATCATTTCCGATGACTGCTGCAAACAGAAGACGTTAAAAGTATATGATAGAAAAGACAGTCTGGAAAACATAATCAATAAAGTTGTAAATATTTTTTAGGGGGCCAGATGGACTCAGGTCTTGTTAGGGAGACCACTTCATAGTTGGTGTAGAGGCCTGACCACCGCACTGTATTTCTGAAGCTGATGTTGGATAACATTGTGTGTCAACTATAATTACATATACATATAGTCACCGGACGTGGAGTAGAGATTGGGAATGGAGTCAGTGGAATTGTAATAGATAAGCATGATATGGGGGTGGGAGGGCAGTAGATGGGGGAGGAGGGTTGCTTCTGTGTGAAGGGTGAAAAGGATAACTAATGCATTGTTCTGTACACCTAAAACTAACAAAAATAAAAGTAAAAAAAGTATATCTAAGCAAAAACAAAGAAAGATACTTACTGAACCACAGCTTGACCCCGAGTCAGACCTTTGATTTTCAAATAATGCTCAATTACCCTGTCCTCACTGCAAAACAAGTATGGCAATACATGTTTATATGAGATAGAGCCTTGTTCTAAGATTCTCAGAGGACTACTTGAAAAACTGGAGCAGGAAAGCCTTTACCAACTTCTTAGAGAGAGAGAGGCTGGCTGACTTTTGTGTCTGCAGGACATAGATTCCTGAAGAATACAAACCTCACACATTTGACAACCTTGTCATGATTTTTAAATTTATATTTTATATAATATATTTATATAACATATATTAATATTTTTAAAAACTTAAATTATTAGAAAAAGAAACACAATTTCAATTTATCAAATGAAAAACTGGTATCCTTTGCCATAACTGAATGAAATATAATAAATATAAAATAATGTTAATAAAGAGAGATCAGCAAGTGTTACAT